ATTCAATAACAGTGTTGAGTAATTAACTATTCTGTTGGGTAATTATTCTGTTAATTACTCAACACTGCTAGTGAAAGTAAACTTGGCACTCATTAGCTAATTTAGACAGGCCATTTTACACCACATGACAGCAGGAACCCAATATTTTTCAATGATTCTCAACGAATTTGAACAATTTGCTAACAGTGGTTTAAAACTAAACATTAAATACAGAAACTCCTGTTAAAACAACACAACTAAATGAAACCTAAACTGTAGTTGCACAGAGAATAATAAATGTATGAAATATGTTGGATAAATGACAAAATAATACCCACTGTTTTAATTCTGGTAATGAGGCTGGTTTGGCAACGTTTACAAGTTTGCGTAATCTCATCTCTTCTGTACGTAGAATAATCAATTGACGCTTTAACTGCATCTTTGTCTTGGTATCCATGACACCAGCCTTAATGGCTGACATGTAGGCATCTAAGGCATCAATGTCATCGCCATCAAATTTAGCTGCCTCTGTCGATATAAAATGTAATCCAAAGTAAAGAATAGATATTATACGCAAAGCTAGTTGGGGGTTTGAAACAAAATTGAGATGGAAGTATGGGGTTTAACATCCACTCGATACAAACTAGGTCATTTAGGGACTAAGATATGGTTCAGTTTGTTTCAATAATTCACACGCATGTAGGGGTCTTTAGCAGTGGGAGGAATCCGGAAGACCTTTGTATTCTTTTGTTTATTTGTATATATATGTATGTTTTTTATAATCATATCTACATTGTAAAGCGCCACAGAGCAGTCAGGCTGACTGAATGTTCAATGCTATAGAAAATTATTATTATTATTATTATTATACATGTACACCTGACTAAATTGTAATACAACTTTCCTAAATAAATAATTGACTATTCAAAATATGTTACAGGTATATAATTAAAACCGAGGGAATTGAACAAATAATATGGAAGCAGATTGCTATCTTGGTCTATGGAAACACAAAGTGGAAACAATGCATCTATTGACCGGTTACACTAGTAAAAGAAAAGATATTTACCATCTTTAGCATGTTGTAACCTAGCTTCTATATCATCAATCTCTTTAACAGTTGATTTATATTTCTCTAACTATAAATATATACATTAATATTTACATTATATCAAATAAAAAGAGAGAGAGAGAGAGAGAGAGAGGGAGAGAGAGAGATGGGAGAGAGAGAGGGAGGGAGAGAGAGAGGGAGAGAGAGATAGAGGGAGAGAGAGAGGAGAGAGGGAGAGAGAGAGAGAGATGGGAGAGAGAGAGAGATAGAGAGAGGGAGAGAGAGAGGAGAGAGAGAGAGGGAGGGAGAGAGAGGAGAGAGAGATAGAGGGAGAGAGAGAGGAGAGAGGGAGAGAGAGAGGGAGGGAGAGAGAGAGAGGAGAGAGAGGGAGAGAGAGAGATGGGAGAGAGAGAGGGAGGGAGAGAGAGAGGGAGAGAGAGATAGAGGAGAGAGAGAGGAGAGAGGGAGAGAGAGAGAGAGAGAGGGAGGGAGGGAGGGATGGGGTTTAATGCCCACTTGACACAAACTAGGTCATTTCGGGAATAAATTAAATGAAATGAAATGGGGTTTAACCTCCTACTATTCTGCTCCTAACCTGGGCTAATGAAGACGGGCATACGCCATACAGTGTGCTATGAGGGAAATTTTGCCCGGGCAGCGGCGCTACGGCCAACTCTTATATCGAATTCCAACTGCCAAGGGATCTTTTACGTGCACGCCAATGTGTACACGGGACCTCGATTTTTCATCCCATCCAAACGACTAGACAGCTGTCCTTGTCAGGCCCTCCATCCTGCATCACTAACAAGGGGAAACCACGCCGGAAAATCTGAATGAACTTTCTCGGCCAATGCAGGGATCGAACACCCGACATCCAGGCTAGTGAGGCAGCGTCAATTACCCACTTAGCCACGTGATCCCCATTTTGGGAATAACATATGGTTCAATTTTATTCCAATAATTCACTTGCATGTAGGCATCTTTAGCAGTGGGAGGAAACCGGAGGACCCAGAGAAAACCCATGAGGTTGAAATTGTTAAATATAATGGCAAGTTAACAGGGCTTCCAGCAACAGACTTTCTCTCATTTAAAGATATGAAATGAAATGAAATGAAATGGGGTTTAACGTCCTACTGTTCTGCTCCTAACCTGGGCTAATGAAGACGGGCATACGCCATACAGTGTGCTATGAGGGAAATTTTGCCCATGCGGCGGCGGCGCTACGGCCTACTCTTATATCGAATTCCAACTGCCAAGGGATCTTTTACGTGCATTCCAATGTATACACAGGACCTCGGTTTTTCGTCTCATCCGAATGACTAGACAGCTGTCCTTGTCAGGCCCTCCGTCCTGCATCACTGACAAGGGGAAACCACGCCGGAAAATCTGGATGAACTTTCTCGGCCAATGCAGGGATCGAACACCCGACCTCCAGGCTAGCGAGCCAGCGGCTTACCCACTTAGCCATGTGATCCCCTTCATTTAAAGATAACGATCCATCAACTCCATGTTAACAAGTCATTAAAAGTTAACAGAGCTTTGAACAACCAGCCCCTCTGCAAGACAAATGATTATGTGTGGAACCCGTACCAATGTTTCATATGTATCGCCTTTATTATCAACCTTCCCAGCCTGCACCATTCGCTTTTTACGTTTAACAGCTATTGTTCCAGTTCGGTCCAAAAACTCGTCTTCATCACTGTCATAAAAATCATCAGCTTCCCAATTCTTCGACTTTCTTTTACGACTTTCTGTAATTAAAAAACACAAAATAAATTACCTTGGTTAATATAGATCAACACAGCTAGAGATGCTGATTAGGGGATAAAACACACGGAAAAAGCTGAATCTGAAACAGAAAATCGTGGAAAAGCTGATTTCTCTAAAAACCTATAAAATGTGATCGGAGCCACTGTGGCTAAGTGAATAAGATGTTGGCTCGCTAGCCTGTTGGGTCTCTGCGTTAGGCGAGAAGTCTACAGGACGGTGGCGCAGGACGGAGGGCCTGGTAAGGACAGCTGTCTAGTCATTTGGATGGTACAGAAAAACGAAGTGATATCACAGACAAGAGAGAGAGAGAAATGGGGTTTAACGTCCACTCGACATATCCTAGGTCATTTCAGGACTCGGATATGGTTCAATTTTGCGCAAAGGGGGTCTTTAGCAATGGGAGGAAACTGGAGGACCCAGAGAAAATCCCTGAGGTTCGACAGGTGACCCTATTCCTTGTCACGTACAACCGGGGAATCGAAACCATGCCATTTGATTCAATGACATACCTTATGATACAATGTGCATGCACTAACCATTCGGCCACCCAACCCCCCTGATATCGCAGACATACGAGTTACATTAACTATGATGCTGATGTTGTCTGCTAAAAAGCTGAAACAAGCTCACAGATACATCTTCTCACACTTTTATTTTATTTTAGTAACGATATAAAGTATATTTTATTACCGTGTTTAGCTTGTCGTAATAATTGATGTCTGTCTAAAATTCTACAGGCTTCCAGGGCACACGCTAATACTGCTTCTTTCTTCTTCCCAGATATCATCACCTCTGCTACTAGGGCTTCTCCATTCTGTCCGTCAACTGGTAAACTACAAAAAACAAACACGGCATTAACAAAAACCGAAGTAAAACTCGTCCATAGAAACACTAAAATTTATTAAATCAGAGAAATTTCTACCAAAAAACATAACATATTTCAAAGAGAGAGAGAGAAATGGGGTTTAACGTCCACTTGACACAAACTAGGTCAATTCGGGACTAACATATGGTTTAATTTTATTTCAATAATTCGCTTGCGCATAGGAGTCTTTAGCAGTGGGAGGAAACCAGATGACCGGGAGAAAACCCACGAGGTTGGACAGACGACCCTACTCCTTGTCACGTACAACCGAGGAATCGAAACCCCGCCAGTTGACTCAATGACAGACCTTTTGATACATCGCACACATGCACACACACACAGCATCAACATAACGGGTCCTTGTTTAACAAAAAACTTGTTTCCATGGAAACGATAAAAATTATTAAATCAGAGAAATTACTACAAAAAAAATTACATATTTCATGCGAACTTGTGTATGCCAAAGTCAAATTTGTTTCCATGGAAACACAAAAATTGTTAAAGGACAATATTGGTGTCAGTCATAATCACATATGTGACAGAACTGGTTAAAGAATATCTTGTTTTTCCTTTTGCTTTCGTCACTTCTGTTTCTTGAAATCTTCATTAGGCATCTATCATAGCAATGATCTCTGTGTTAAAATTATATTTGGAATGTGTTTAACCAGTTCTAACACATATGTGATAATGACTGACACCAATATTGTCCTTTAAATCCGACAAATTTCCTGGATAATGGACGGTACACTTTTCCTGGTTATTTTTGATCAGGGAATTAGGAACAGACTATTTGGTAAATGAAATGGAACTAAAATGTGAACATAATACTGAAAAGATGAGATGGGTTACTATAGAAACAACTACAAAATACTTGTGTAATCCAATATTCTGATATGCACAATTTGATTAAATCACAGATCCTATTTCGTTTTACTTGTCTTTACTGCACTAGGATCTGGAAGAGTTGTTATATAACCCGCGTTCTGACTGATCTGAGGGATTAGCCAATGAAACTGTCTGTTACACAGTTAGTACTTGGCGTGCAATGCACTGAACTGTGGATATCCTACTAGAAACATCAATACTGATTGGTTAATCAAATGTCTGATGTCATAGGGTCAAAAACCACTCATATGACCTCTGATGTGACCTTCCACTACAACTGGTCAGATCTACATGTAGTGTAGGCCATCGAAAATATAAAAAAAAAGAAACGAAATATAGATCCATTATTCTGATAGGCATCTCCTGCGTACATGTGGAAGACAGCCATAACAAATGTATGTGAATTTACTTACTCTACTCGACATTTATATTTTCCAGGTAAACCATCTGTTATAATATATTCAGGTAAATCACATCCTATAATATGAAATAAACAAATAATCATATTATTAAAGAAGATTAGATAAATTACACCCTATAATATTAAATAAATAATCAATATTATTGAATAATGTAGCAATATGGATGGCAGGATTTGTGCAAAAGAACACATATGTACATGTATAATAATATTATGGCCTTGACCAATAATTATCTGCAGATTCATAGACAAGTAAAATAAAACAAGAAACGGAAATCTGTGATGATATGAAACATGAACATATTTGTCATATCCAACATATTGATTGGTATGCAAGATATGAGGCATGCCCATTTCATATTTGGCTTAGTCACGTGGTCATTAGGCTTAGTAACCAATCATCATGATCAATTACGTAATATTTGACCAATTAGATAATAGATAGCAAAAGTCAAGGCATATAAATGCTTGAGCCTTTGGTGATCCTTTAGATCACCATGTAAATTCTAGGTAAATTCAAGAGGAGAGGATGTAGCAAGTTCTACCAGCAAACTCGCTACGGTGCCCAGACAGAGGTTTCTTTTAGACATTTCAGTCTACTCTTCAGGGTTTCGTTTATGTGCAGGGCAACATGTAAACAGGACCTTGGTTTATCATCCCATACGAGAGAGAGAGAGAGAAATGTGGTTTAACGTCCACTCGACACACATTAGGTCATTTCGGGACTAACATATGGTTTAATTTTTTATTTCAATAATTCGCTTCAGCGTAGGGGTCTTTAGCAGTGGGAGGAAACCGGAGGACCCGGAGAAATCCCACGAGGTTGGACAGGCGACCCTACTTCTTGTCACGTACAACTGGGGAATCGAAACCCCGCTAGTTGACTCAATGACAGACCGTATGATAATCATACCATACGAAGAACTAGACACTGTTCCTGGTCAGTCAACCCATTCTGTGCTACTGACAGATGGGGATATCACAATAAAAAATCCAGCGAATTGTTCAATGTAGAATGATATCTAGAAGAGGGGAATTACCTTCACGTTCATAAAATCCTTTTAAAGCTTTTTTAGGATCATCAATATATAATTCTTCATTATCTGGTTGATTTGAAACTAAATCAATTTCTTCTGCTTCCTCTTCAGCCTCTTCACCTGATAAATAAACCAGGGTAAATTCTTAAAGACAAATTATTTCTATTAATTAGGGAGAGAGGGAGAGAGAGAAAGAAAGAGAGAGACAGACTAATTCAATTTCTTCTGCTTCCTCTTCAGCCTCCTCACCTGATAAATAAACCGGGGTAAATTTTTAAAGACAAATTAATTCCATTAATTAGGGAGAGAGGGAGAGAGAAAAGGAAAAAGACAGACTAATTCAACTTCTTCTGCTTCCTCTGCAGCCTCTTCACCTGATAAATAAACCGGGGTAAATTCTTAAAGACAAATTATTTTGTTAACAAAAAACTGTTTTACTTTATTTAATAAGGTGTTGGAAGACAATATTTTGGATTAGGAATTGGGACCTTGGGTACATTTCTTCTTCAAAAAAATAGAAGCCCAAGCTCCAGTGAATTTCATGAAACTTGGCATGCTTGTTCCTTGGATTGATGAACAAAAATAACTTCAAAAAATAAAGGAAATGTTTGATCTTGGAAAAACTTGAAAAAGGTCATTTTGGAAGTGCAGCTCTGACATGGTATACCATAGTCAACAAAGTTTTATGTTCCTGTAGCACTGTGAAAGTTTAAACTCATCAATCCATAGGCTATACATGTATTGTATGTGGTAGACATATTATTCATAATGAATATTTGTGCTTTAGACAATAAATTCTGTTATTATGAGTCAAGTGACGTGGTTTTGATCACCAAGATTTTACATGACAAGGAGTAGGGTCACCTGTCCAACTGCTACATGTAAAGTTAACTGTAAAGACCCCTATGTGCAAGTGAATTATTGAAATAGAATTGTACCATATTATGTTAGTCTCAAATTTCGTTTTTCTTGTCTTTATTACACTAAGATCTGGAAGCGTTGTTACATAACACACGTTCTGGATGATGTGAGGGATTAGCCAATGAAATGGTCTGTTACAGTGAGTTTTTGGGCTGAGGTACACTGAACTTACTGTCTGACATCATAGGGTCAAAAGTCACTCGTCTGACCCCTGACACGACCTTCCACTACAACTGACCAGATCTTCATGTAGTAGAGGCCATCAAAGAGAGAGAAAGAAATGGGGCTTAACGTCCACTCGACACAAACTAGGTCATTTCGGGACTAACATGGTTTAATTTTATTTCAATAATTCAATTGCACGTAGGGGTCTTTAGCAGTAGGAGGAAACTGGAGGACCCGGAGAAAACCCACGAGGTTGGACAGGCGGCCCTACTCCTTGTCACGTACAACCGGGAGAGGCCATCAAAAGTAATATAATAAAACGAAACGAAATACAGATCTGTATTTTAATCAGATTGGTCTCAAAATGACCTAGTTTATGTTAAGTGGATGTTAAACCCCATTATACTAAATAAATCTAAAACATCTTATTTTGGAGTTTTGATCAAAAAAGATTGCTTAGGAATAGTGTTTTATTTATAATTTATTACCCATGCCCCACGAACATCCTTCATCTTGATTCATCTTTTGTTGTAATCGATTCGATTCGTCAGCATCGGCTAATCTTAATACTTCCGCTTCACGTTTCTGTCGATCTCTCTGTTGCTTGATTTCTGTGACTGACAGTTCTGATTCCTCATCCTGGTCAGTTTCAGGCCCCTGGAAAACAATTTTTAATTTTCATTGACATGTATTATGTTGCTTCAAATTAAATGAAATGGTTTTTAATGGCATGTCAGTACCAACCAAGTTATATTGCGCAAAACATATACATGTAGTGATCAATTTGTGACAAATTAAATAACTATCACAAAAATAGAAATAAAAACAAAACTGACAGACTAGTTTATTAAAAACAAATATCACATAGCCTTATGTATATAAATAATTTAAAATCTAAACCTAAGCTAATTGGGTAAGACGCTGGCTAGCTAGCCTGGAGGTTCATCAGAATTTTCCAACGTGGTTTCCCCTTGTTAGTGGTGCAGAAAGGAGGGCCTGACAAGGACAGCTGTCTAGTTATTCTGATGGGACAAAAAAAAAACGAGGTCCCGGGTATACATTGGCAACACATAAAAGATCACTTGGCAGTTGGAATTCGATAAAAGAGTAGGCCATAGTGCCACTGTCCGGAAAAATTTCTCTCATAGCACACTGTATGGCATATGTGTGCAGAAAAGTTATATTTTACTTTGTTTAGTTTAGAAAGCTTATAGAAATAGTTTACCTGTAAAATATGTAATCGAGTACTGCCTCCAAATTTCACGACATGACCAACACGAATTCTGTGATATACATTAGGTTTAACTTTGTTTTTATTTAACCAAGTTCCATGAGTACTGTCTAAATCATAAAGATACCATCCCGACTGTGACACTGACGATTCTGGGTTCTTGCAATACTGAATGACAGCATGATATCGTGACAACGATGGATGTTCCATGGTAACATCACAACTTGGTAATCTGCCGAACATATAAAACGCTTTATCTTTAAGTTCAATGTTTTCTATAATTGCCCCATTCTTTAATATTTCGAACGAATAACCTGGCTCCGGTAACCCACTCCAACTGGGTTCCTTATAAGGAAAAACAACTTGTGCCTGCTGTAAAGATTCAGCAGGGGAAGAATTTGAAGTTTTAACTTTTTCTTTTGTGGAATTTGGGGTGGGTGATTCTTGGTTTGAAGGTTTTTTAATTTGTTTTACATTTTGGGCTTTTTCATTTTCTAAATTTGTTATTGGGGATGTTAGTGGCAGTTTTTCGGGCATTTTAAATTGAATTGTTGGGGTTTTAAATGGATTTGAATCCTTGGAATCCTTGTTGATACCATTTTCTTCTGCATCGTTATCTGCGAGCGTCTCCATCTTAGATTCGATGTTATTTGTATTTACGTCCAACGTAGGAATAACATTTTCGTTTTTGTCCGCCATGATGGATTTTTACCGCTTATGTCATGATAAAATGTATTAAAATTAAATGGAATTGATTAATTATAGTATTTTGGTTTAGAATATACATAGCAATAGATAATAAAACGCACTTTCAAAACTTCAGATGATTTTTCTTGAAATAATTTAGACCGGGAAGTAATTTATTTGTTAAGGATGTATGGGATATACTTAGCAAGGGAAGTAGCTCCGATAAAAATACGGAATCAGACCAGTAATTTCAATGAATTCAAATTAACTTATATCGGGTAGAGAGAGAGAGAGAGAGAGAGAGAAATGGGGTTTAACGTCCACGCGACACAAACTAGGTCATTTCGGGACTAACATATGGTTTAATTTTATTTACATAATTCGCTTGCGCGTAGGGGTCTTTAGCAGTGGGAGGAAACCGGAGGACCCGGAGAAAACCCACGAGGTTGGACAGGCGACCCTACTCCTTGCCACGTACAACCGGGGATTCGAAACCACGCCAGTCGACTCAATGACAGACTTTATGATACAGCGCGCGCACGCTAACCATTCAGCCATCCACCCCCCCCCCCCCTACATCGGGTAGAAATTGACTTAGTGGTGAATAAATCAACTTAATTTATCTTGTTGAAATGGATACCCTGGCTTGCCAGACGTGTTACTTTTAATACTCAGGCCAAACTTATAAACTATTGAACAACTATTTGAGGGGAGCTAATTTCATAATCAAGTATCTGGAATTAAAACATTTTTTTTAAATTTATTTATTTATTTTTTATGAGATTAGATAATCTAGAAAATAATTAAATAGGGCGTATTATTTCTGCAATTTCATTTGTAAACATATTTTATTTATTCATAAATCTTTTTTTTTTTTCAAAAATCTGTATAAATTTGATTTTTTAAAATCAATTTGGTCGTAAGCTCTCTATAATCCTACCATATTGTGTGATCTAAGAGTTTTAACGTCAGTCTATGATTGATATTGAACGTTACGTCAATGTTAATCTCAAGTAGCGTATATTGTCGTTAGGCCACACCAATTTCATTTTCTGTTCATGTGTCATGGGGTTGGATGGCTGAATGGTTAGCACGTGCGCGCTGTATCATAAGGCCTGTCATTGAGTCAACTGTACGTGAGATGGAGTAGGGTCATCTGTCCAACCTCGTGTGTTTTCTCCGGGTCCTCCGGTTTCCTTCCACTGCTAAAGACCCCTACACGCAAGCGAATTATTGAAATAAAATTAAACCATATGTTAGTCTCGAAATGACCTAGTTTGTGTCGTGTGGACATTACCCTCCCCCCTCCCCCCTCTCTCTCTCTCTCTCTCTCTCTCTCTCTCTCTCTCTCTCTCTCTCTCTCTCTCTCTCTCGCTCTCTGTTCATGTTCTGTTGATAAATAAGAAATCATCTGAAAGATGTTTTGTTTGAAATGTCAAAACTGTAAAATTTGCAACTAGGCGCTTTTGAACAGCACAATCAAGTAGGCCTACTTTTTTGTTTTTTAATTTAGCCTTTTCCGTAGAAATAAGACGGATTTTTTAAAAAAAATTATTTACAGGTGCTCCAGAAGAACAAAAAATCAAATTACCGCGGCCTTAAAAACAAGTTTTATTAGTAATAGCTTAATCTACACCGTTTGTCAATAACCTATATTAATCATAATAATATACCATAGATGATTAGATTACGTAACAATCGCCAGATTTCAATCTCTGTAGACCCAATCATCCAGATAATCTGTAAGCTAATTAATGCTACTTGTATAATGGTGTATATAGCAACCATTAATCAACGATAGACTTAGAGAGAATGGTTTGACATTCTGTTCACAGTTAGAGATTGATTTTAGTGACTGAACAAACGTCAGCCTTGACATATCTCACAGTCTGGATATTATATCTGATTTAATTTCCACCGTTACACATATCTTTGGATATAAAGATATAGATAGACCTGTTTTGGGATATATTCTAGCGTTGCCGAATTGCTGACTGGATTAATTGTCATAAAAGATTAAGTAAATATTACTTTATAATTAAAAACACTTATATTATTATCTATATATTGCACCACATTTTTGTTAAATATCGTCATTTGCTTGATAACGATTTCTGTATCGTAGCATATTAATAAATTCAGAAGTATAAGTGTTTTTAATTAGTGAAATCTACTTCTATATGTCTTATCAGGATAATATTACTTTATAGTTCGTCAATACCTTTTTCTCAACATATAGATCTATAGGATTTTTATTTTTAAATCAATAAAAAAATAATTTTTTTAAAATCCGAATTAAAAGTAATCAGTGACCAATCTTCTTATTAAAATAGAGACCCTATGCATTTTTTTAATAATTTGAATGTTCCACTTGTTTTCGCCATACTGAGTAGAGGACATCAAAGTACAATAAACCGAAACGAACTAAATTTCAGTATTTTGAACAGGGTGATTGTAGATTGGTTAGAAACTCGACTAAATAAGGACTTTAGAGTCATAGCGAATAAATATTATTTTATAGTTATTTTATCAATATGGACATTCGTTTGATTAGATGTGCCCACTGAATTTACACGCCTTTCCGATCATCAAGATATACAATTTGAATTAACAGAAACGGGAATACAGTTATCACGACTCTCTGTATTGGAGATTTAGATATCATTAATACTATAAAGTTACAAAATAATTGGAATCGCGACTTTTAGAAATCCTTGTATTGGTGATTTAAATAATATTTTAACTGAAGTTGATCGCGATAATATTAAATAAACAAAGAAGGAATAACCAAGTTTCATTTGAACGGATATTAATTAAAACGAATTTTATAAATGAATACAGTTATCAGGACTTTGATAATATAAATTTTCAAAATAATCGGGACTTTTAGAAATCCCTGTATTGGTGATTTAATTAATATTTTATTCTGAAGTTGATCGCGATAATAAATAGAAGAAATAACGAAGTTTCATTTGGATGTAAATTAATTAAAATGATTTTTATTAATTAATCTACCCGACCCGTCCCTAAAAGATAAATTAGATATATTTAGAATCTGAAGGGGGCGTTGGATGGCTGAATGGTTAGCGTGCGCGCGCTGTATCATAAAGTCTGTCATTGAGTCGACTGGCGTGGTTTCGATTCCCTGGTTGTACGTGACAAGGAGCAGGGTCGCCTGTCCAACCTCGTGGGTTTTCTCCGGGTCCTCTGGTTTCCTCCCACTGCTAAAGACCTCTATGCGCAAGCGAAATATTGAAATAAAACTAAACCATATGTTAGTCCCGAAATGACCTAGTTTGTGTCGAGTGGACGTTAAACCCCATTTCTCTCTCTCTCTCTCTCTCTCTCTCTCTAGAATCTAAAGATTTGACCGGAAATTAAAATATTTTTAGAAAATGAATTTATTCGAACTCCTCTTAAAAACAAATTAGATCAATCTATTTGGAATTTAAAGATTTTACCAGATTGGGTAAATGTATTTTTAAATTAAATATTTTACCAGAGACAGACGAAGAGGTAAACATGGACGCATTAACAGACAGACGTCGTCGACTGTATGGTACAGAACGAACGGTGAAAGCAGATGTAATGAAAGATACCCTGAAGAAAAGTGTTGTATTTAATGACGGAGAATATAATTTTACTAAAGATGGATTAAAAAATGGAATATGGAGCACCAGTTTTCAGACAGACTTTACCGTAAGTTTTTAATTCACCCTAAGAAACTTACATTTCAACTTATCATTTTTATGGTCTGTCATTGAGTCAAGTGGTATGATTTCGATTCATCGGTAGTACGTGACAAGGAGTAGGCTCGCCTGTCCAACCTCATGGGTCCTCCGGTTTCCTCCCACTGTTAAAGACCCATACGCGCAAGCGAATTATTGAAATAAAATTCAATGATAATTATAGTCCCGAAATGATCTAGTTTGTGTCGAGTGGACGTTAATCTATCGCTCTCTCTCTCTCTCTCTCTCTCTCTCTCGCTTTTGTGAGGGGATGGGTGTGTTTGGATATAATACCCCTACTGAATACATGATTATTCCCGTCTAGTGAGAGACATGGTGTTTAACATATACTCGGCACAAACCAAGTCATTTTGGGACTAACATATTGCGCGACTTAATAATATATAATTCGCTTGCGTACAGGGGTCTTTAGCAGTGGGATGGAACTGGAGGACCCGGCAAAATCCCACGATGTTGGACACGTTACCCTGTAGACTCCTTGTCATAAGTGTGGGGTGGAAACCACGCCACTTGGAGAATAAACCCGTTTAACAGCAGCCATAGTTCGAAAAAAATGTATATTTTATTAAACAGGCATTATATAAGAGCTAAATCTGTCTAATGCAGGTCTTTCTTTAATTTATTATGGTGTTTTTTATTTAAAGGGACGAGCACCTGACAATTTAGCTCAAGGAAAACCACCGACACAGGTTAGTAATCATTATTATTGTTTGTGGGGGCCACAGTGAATGGGGGATGTGGCGCTGGCTCACCAACCGGGTTCGATCCCTGTGTTGTTGGGGATTGCAATGACATTCTTCTTGGAGCATGCAGATGAGTAGTACATTAAAACTCAATCTGATTAAAATACAGATTATATTTCGTTTCGTTTTTTTTAAACTTCCGATGGCCTACACTACACGAAGATCTAGTCGGCTGTACTGGAAGGTCGCGTCAGGGGTCGTACGAGCGGCTTTTGACCCTATGACGCCAGACATTGATTAATCAATCAGTGTTGACGTTTCTAGTGGTTTACACACAGTTCCGTGCATCACACGCCAAAAACTCGCCGGAACAGACCGTTTCAGTGACTATTCCCTCACTTCAACCAGAACACTGGTAATATAACAACTCTTCTAGATCCTAGTGTAGTAAAGACAAGTAAAACAAAATTTTGAACTATAAAAAATGAAACGAAATTGGATCTGTGTTTTAATCAGATTGCTTAAATCCCAGTAAAAAGGACATTATTCCTATTTCTTTATAATAACTTGTTTGGGCCGTTTTCGTTGTTTTCTTAGAGGTTGGGTGTGTGTGTGTGTGTGGTGTGGAGGGAGGGGGGGGGGCTATTGTCGAAGCATTCTCTTTGTTTAAACTTACTTTATATATCTAAATATTCAACATTATTTGATTTTTAGTTAAATCACCATTTTGAGTTGACAGCACCTGATGTTCCAGATCAAACAAATTATCAGACTAGTTTGTCACATGATGATTATAACAAGAAAGGTGGCGTCAAGGTAACGTATATTATATACATCTGTTTATATAAAATGTTCGAGGAAATACATAATTATTAAACATACAATATGTATATTGAACATACATTATGTATATTAAATATACATTATGTATATTAAACATACATTATGTATATTAAACATACATTATGTATATTAAACATACATTATGTATATTAAACATACATTATGTATATTGAACATACATTATGTATATTAAACATACATTATGTATATTAAACATACATTATGCAAGAGCTAAATCTACCTACTGCAGGTCTTCCTTTATGTCTGAAATGCTATATAAATTATTAATGAGACATTAAATAACTTATCCAGAATATAATCAACTCGCGATGCCATCAATAGCCTGTGATATTTAACGGATTGGGATACATTTTTTTGAAAAATAATTAAACGTAAAAATGGATAATCGAGACTTTGTTTTCTTATATTTATCTAATCTCCCATAATACCCCTTTCACCTGTTACCCAGTATACCAAGTTGATATTTATCCAATTTAAAGTCTATACATGGTTCGACAATGGAAAAACAATTGTATACTACCCCAGCCCCCCCCCCCCCCATCACACACACACACACACACACACACACACACACACATCCCCCTCCCGTCCCCCAAATAATACAGAGGATACTTTCTATATTAACAGTTTTCTGAAGCCCAAGGCTATTGCTTCTCAAATCGTCTTTTTTTTCAGACCGTACCATGTCCCATAGACAGAACCATTAACTGGCCGGTAAGTTTGTTTGGTTTATATTATAACAAATATGTTTTGATTCTAACACATACGGGACAAACATCTATGTAGGCTACATTGTTATCTTGGTGTTAATGATGGAATCGCAAGATTCGTTTTGGTGTTTAGTTTTGGAGATCAGGCCGGTTGGGGAGGAGGACAGGCCGGTTGGGGAGGAGATCAGGACGGTTGGGGAGGAGAACAGGCCGGTTGTGGAGGAGATAAGGCCGGTTGGGGAGGAGATCAGGACGGTTGGGGAGGAGAACAGGTCGGTTGGGGGGGGGGCAGGCTGGTTAGGGAGGAGATCAATCATAGTCCGGGTATTCTGGGTTCTGCCTCACTTCGTGGTAGTGTATAGGACCACTAACTGCATGGTTAGTGGGTGTAGCCTCGCCTTGAATTTGATTCCCATTCGGTGCAAGGAGAATGTTAACCTGGCACAAAAATCTTTCGTGAACCCGCCCTTAACCCTATTATAATACAGAAGAAATTTCCTACCACCATCGCCACAAACAGGAAATCACTAATCAGCGTCGACGATGCATTATTTTGATTTTTATGTTTAACAGGATATGGCACCACAGTATATGGAGAATCCTACATTAGGTGATACAGAATATTCTAATCAGTACATGTCTACAGTAAGTTATCTTATTTAATTAAATCAATCCAATTTTATATGGATGCAGACCACAAAATATTTTCCATATTGGTTTTAATGTTAAAGTTAAGTCTTGTCCCTTTTACCTGACTTCAACTTTTCTTTTCGTTGGTCAGAACGCTCTCGACCACACACAACGTAACTTTGACCATATGAATCTTTCCACATTATTCCCCCACTCCCTATTCTCTCTACACAACCATAATTGTCTCCCTTTTGTCTAAAGCAGTGATTTTGAACCTTTTTTGCCAACGGCACACCTTGGAACACATGAAAAAATAGCGGTACACCTGGCTAAATATATATGAAAAATATTTGACATTGCGAAATAAAAACATCGACAGTCAGACGGCATACAGCCGTTGACAGAGACTAGTCATAAACACATAGAATGACTCAAACTAAATAAAGAAAAACACAGCTATAAACTTATCAGTTAGACACCAGTGAATACTCAATTGGGATCACGTGGTTTTTCGCATTTTCTTAGTGTGCCGTTCAAAATTTCGCTGCACACTTAGCAAGATCTCGCGACACGCCTGTGTCCCGCGGCACAATGGTTGAAAATCACCGGTTTAAGGCCTTGAATACGCTTTCCCAGTTTCGAATAATCTCAAATTGTTCAAGATAATCTATTTCAAAAATGAAATCAGTGTTAGCATAGAGTAATTCTGTGATTGCTTTTTTTCTATAAAATTTGTAATAATTTATATTCTGTATTAAATGTTTTGTAGGAACATGCGTTGATGGCCCCAGTTCACCCCAAGATCAACACATCAAAGGTTCAACTTCCACTCGACCCAGAGAAATATCAGAGACTAGGTGATGCTAGTATAGTTCTCGGATCAGATGTCAACAAGTAAGACGTGGTTCATTTGTTTACATCCATTTCAGAATCAAGGAATGATTTAGCGCTTAGCAACAAAATCAGATTTTATCCTATGATCAGATGAATTTTAGAATCCAGCAATATTTTAGAACTAAACAGTAGAATCAAGTTTCATATTAGTTTAGAGAGAGAGAGAGAGAGAGAGAGGGGGGGTTAACATTCACTCGATATAAACTAGTTCATTCGGGACTAACATTTTCTACAGGTTTATTGCAATAGGGGTCTTTTAGCAGTAGGTGAATAAACCCCGTCGTACACGAGCAAAGAAAATTTGACGGTATCTTCTAATTTTCTTTGACCGTGTACGAAGCCAGCAATTTATTTGACGGCCTATCGTGCACGAGCATAAGTTCCAAATCTTTGACACACTTATTTGACGAAAAGCTATGCATGCCAGCTTTTGTCAAATCTCATATGGCAAATTTCCTCTCATACACGAGCAAATTTCTTTGACCAATCTCCAATTGTCAAAGAAAATTTGCTCGTGTACGACGGGCTTAACACACTGTGTGGTATATGCCCGCCTTCATTAGCCCAGTCGGAACTTCACAGTAGGACGTTAAACCCCATTACATATGTATGTGCTACAGTTTATTGATTAGACATTATATAGGTCTACTATTGTGTATATAAGATTTCACGAGACACCTGGTATAACCTGTTAATTACTCTGTTAATTGATGAATTAAACCAATCAAATCAGATTGTTTTTATCACTGACCATCTGTACATTAATTATTTAACGTAATAGAATATAAGATCTATTTCTTTATAAGTTAAAACTATTCACTGTACGAGCTAGACCGCTGCTACAGGAAGGGCTTGGTTCGTTTTACGGGATAGAGAACACAGCTATAGGAAGGGCTTGATTCGTTTTAAGAGACCACTGCTATATTAAGGGCTTGGTTCGTTTTACGGGCTGGAGACCAATGCTATAGAAAGGGCTTGATTCATTTTACGTTTGAGTATCATGGTAAGTTGGTAATAAGTATAATATTAAAAAAACCCAAAACAACAGAAAGTTATAATATTAGGTTTAGATATATGTACCGTTGATTATAGATATGTGTACACCATAGTTAAAGCTATTTTATATACGGGGTAGGGTTTCAATCTGGGTAAGTTTGTAGTATAATTTAAAATAAAAATCCTAGAAAGTTATAATATTATGTTGATAGAGGGTCTCGGTAAATTGGTAGTGTTTTTTTATTAGATTTAGTACAACTGCATTAGTTACCAGTGCAGTGTTAACTAATATTCACTGTAATATATAGTCAAGCAGTAGTAAGAAGTTTTATTTTAATCTCTTTAAGTGCAGCCTGTGCTAATATTGATAAACTTTCAGTCAATCGTAAGATTTCTTAAAGATTTTTAATCCAGGCTGCCTGTTAAGAAAGTATATCCTCTGCAGAAGCGTATGGACAGTGCGGTGCCGTGGGCGCGTGATGGGGGAGAGGGGGCAGGAGGGGGTGCAAAGGGTGGTATTTTCATGTGTGTAATTGAACAAAATGTATATTTGGTTTGGACAGATATAAGTAGTAAGGATTTTAAATCAGAACATAATATATTAAAATTATATTTCTGTTTTACAGATTAGCCAGTGAACATCAGAGTTGCTTCTCAGAAGATAGATTAAAGGGGAGAACCAACCCATCAGCATCTCTGTCAAATACGTCATCTTTAAAAAATACGTCACACGTTTTTAGAGCTGGTGATTACAATAACTCCGGTAAGTTGGGATTTATTATTACAATAACTCCGGTACGCTGGTATTTATTATTACAATAACCTCGATAAGCTGGGATTTATTATTACAATAACCTCGGTAAGCTGGGATTTATTATTACAATAACCCCGGTAAGCTGGGATTTATTATTGTAATAATCCTGGTATAATAACAGCACTTGAATAAGACACATAAAACTACTACAGCTCTTTCGGTGGTTCGTAAAATGTAAGAACCTCGGTTGTTCGTCTTATCCAAATGAGTAGAATCGTTCCCTTGCCAATCACTCGTTCTTGCTCGGCCAACACCAGGAACAAACCAGAGCTATCCAGTCAGCGTCTTACTAGCTCAGCCACTGCGGCTCCCGTCCTTGTTATATATGTGATATTATTTTACAGGTGCGAGTTTTGAGACTAATAATATGACAGATTACGGACCTAGAACCAAATCACCATGTCAACAAGTTACAGCTAAACTTCTGCAACAAGCGTAAGTAACCAGCGATTTGAAGCGGGAAATGAAACTCGACTCAAACCATGGTTATTTCTAACTTGCTAATTTATTTCATTATTTCTCTTGTGTATATAGGGGTCTATAACAAGGGGGTGGGGCATACGATCCAGACAAAACCCACGATGTTAGGCGCACGCGTTAGACCGCTCGGCCACCCATACTTCCCATACCACCACCAGTGGAGTAAGAAGGGAATTCCTATTTAAGGCGCCATATCATCTTCAATGTTTTAACTAATCCCTCCCAGGATTCACCATCATTGATATCTTTATTTTACAACTTTGAGGAGTTGGATGGCCGAATGGTTAGCACGTGCGCGCTGTATCAGGAGGTCTGTCATTGCGTCAACTTGCGTGGTTTCGATTTCCTGATTGTACGTGACAAGCGTGGGGTCCCCTGTCCAGCCTCGTGGGTTTTCTCCGGAACTGGGTGTCAGCCCCGAAGTGATCTATTTACCCCCCCCCTCTCCTCTTTCTCTCTCTCTCTCTCTCTATTTCTCTATTGTACAACTTCATAAGATGGAAATGTTTGAATCAAGTTGGAATGATGGCACCAAAAGTTCTTTATGCTAACAATTGATATTATAATTTGGTGAAATACCTTAAATGCATAGTTATTCTTACATCGATGTCTAGGCATTACCCACCATCCTACCCATTTCCATGTCATAACCTTTCGGCTCTTTCTCCAGATTATCCCCTTGGCTACACAACACTTAACTGTATTAGAATTATGGGCTGTCAAACACCTTTTTTGTGGCTAAATCTATTTGTTATAGCCAGGTCATAAGGTTAGGGCACGTGATTTTTGGCGAGATTGTAGGTAAAGGTTAGGGTAAGCATTGCGACAAGGTTCAGGGTTGGGGTTAGAGTTGGGATTAGCACTAGCCCTGTTTACATCTCGTGATCTATGACGAAAAATTGAGCCGGCCTTATCAGTAGGCACTAACCTCCTTTTTTGTACCCTTTTAACGCTGCTTTCTGTTTTTGTAGAAACCCATCGATGAAGGTGGATTCTAGTTTATTAGAAGAAAATCATTTAAATAGACATGCCCAACAGGTGACAGTACCCGGGGTATATAGAGGTAAGTTTCTTGTTGCTTGTAAGGGGGTTCACGGTGGCTAAGTGGGTAAGGCACTGGCTCGCAAGTCTGGAGGTCAGGTGTTCGATCCCTGCATTGGCCGAGAAAGTTCACCCAGATTTCCGGCGTGGTTCTCCCTTGTCAGTGATGCAGGACGCAGGGCCTGACAAGGACAGCTGTCTAGTCGTTCGGATGGAACGAAAAACCGAGGCCCAGTGTACACATTGGCGTGCACGTAAACGATCCCTAGACAGTTGGAAAGCCGTAGTGCCGCTGTCCGGGGCAAAATTTCCCTCATAGCACACTGTATGGAGTATGTCCGTCTTCATTAGCCCAATTCGGAGCAAAACAGTAGGACGTTAAACTCATTTTGCCGCTTGTAAGAGGTGCTACGGTGGCTCAGTGAGTAAGACGCTGGCTCAATAACCATGAGACCCTGGGATCGACCCTGGTGATGGTCGAGAGGTTTCCTTGGGATTTTCCAGTCGGGTTTCCTTTTTGTCAGGGGCAATGGACAGTGGGTCGGACAATGGAGAAAGCATTTAGTCATTCGGATGGGACCAAAAAGCGAGACCCCGTGTAACATACCATCTCCGCATTTTAAGGATCCACTGACATTTGAACAGTAAAATAAGAGTAGGCCCGTCTTCATTATCCCGGTTGAAGTTAAACATCATTTTATTTTCTTTAGAAAGAGAGAGAGAGAAAGAGAGAGAGAGAGAGAGATGGGGTTTAACGTTCACTCGACACAAACTAGATCACTTCGGGGCTGACAAGCGATTCCGGTGAAAACCCACTGGGTTGTATTGGCGATCCTACCCCTTTTCACGAACACTCAAAACAAACTAGGTCATTTCGGGATTAACATATGGTTTAATTTTATTTCAATAATTCACTTACATGTAAGCAACTTTAGCAGTGGAGGGAAACCGGAGGACCCGGAGATTTAACGTCAACTCGACAGAAACTAGGTCATTTCGGGACTAAAATATGGTTCAATTTTATATCAATATTTCGTTTTGTGCGTAGGGGTCTTTAGCAGTGGAAGGAAACCGGATGACCCGAAGAAAACCCACGAGGTAGGACAGGCGACCCTACTTATTGTCACGTACAACCGGGGATTTGAAACCAAAATGCAAAATTGTCAGTAAGAAAAGTAAAACGCTAATTATGGCAAAGTTGTTCCTTCCAATTGGTTTGCATATGTCAGTGTACTTTGTGTGTTTGTGTCCGCTGGATTGTCGTTTGCGTGTATGTGTTGTCCGCTGGGTTGTCTTTTGCATGTGTGTCTTGTCCGCGGGGTTGTCTTTTGCATGTGCGTGTCTTGTCCGCTGGGTTGTCTTTTGCATGTGCGTGTGTTGTTCGCTGGGTTGTCTTTTGCATATGCACGTGTTGTCCGCTGGGTTGTCGTTTGCTTGTGTGTCTTGTCCGCTGGGTTGTCGTGTGTTTGTGTTTGTGTGTGGTGTGGTCATCCTGTACTTATTGCTACTTGCAATATTAATAACACTGTGAGAATTGTCGAAAACAATATATTATTGAACATTCCTTGTATCTGATTTTCCTGTTTTACAGAGGCTAGAGATGGCAGAAACGACCAAGAGAACGCACATTTTAAGGTAAAATCATATTAAATTGCATGCGCAGAACGCACTTTCTGATAAGGCGAGCACTGCTGTAGGCCTACTGTTCCTGGCTAGTTTTAATTTATATATAGATAAGTTTCTTTTTTCGAAACAGTCAGCAGTTAAAAACAAATGATTTAATTGATATACTTGAAGACAAAATTGTCTTAAATCGACATAAAACTCAAATCATAAAAATGATAGAGGTCTTGTTTTACCCAATTCATAGAGGTCCTGTCTTGTTTTACCCAAATCATAGAGGTCCTGTCTTGTTTTACCCAATTCATAGAGGTCCTGTCTTGTTTTACCCAATTCATAGAGGTCCTGTCTTGTTTTACCCAAATCATAGAGGCCCTATCTTGTTTTACCCCAATTCATAGAGGTCCTGTCTTGTTTTACCCAAATCATAGAGGTCCTGCCTTGTTTTACCCAAATGATAGAGGTCCTGCCTTGTTTTACCCAAATGATAGAGGTCCTGTCATGTTTTACCCAAATCATAGAGGTCCTGTCATGTTTTACCCAAATCATAGAGGTCCTATCTTGTTTTACACAAATCAATGGCTATATGTATATTTAAAAACATTCTTCTCTTGTTTTAGTTTGGAACAGACGAGTCCACTGTAGAATCTTTGTATTCTAAAGATTTCCTTCTGGCTTCTCAAAAACCCAGAAGTCGACCCAATTTTTATAAAACACCGTCCTCTGGCAAGGTATGTAAATTATTGTTACGCATTCTACTATAGAACTATCCAAAGTCGAATAGACCGAGAGCTAAGTAGTAAATTTATTTATAGGTTCGTGGTGGTTCAGTGAGTAGGCAATGGCTCGCTAACCTGGAGGCCCCGTGTTTGATTCCGGCGTTGGTCGGGAAATTGCCCATCGATTCTCCGGCGTGGTTTTCTCGTGTCAGTGGTGCATGATACAGGACCTGGCATGAGACACGGTCTAGTCGTTGGGATGGAACACAAAACCGAGGTCCCGGGTGACACATTTGTGTGCACGTAAAAGAAGACTCATACTCATACTTATACTACACACTGCATGGCGTATCCCCGTCTTTTGTAGCCCGGTTCCAGTAGAACGTTAGATATACAAAAATAACAATGATCAGTGTTTTAAATACCGCTGATGTCCCTATTATTCAAGACGCACGTAGCCATTTAAAGTTACAATTTCATATTTTCTAAGAAAGTCAAAACATAATTATATATTTCTATGTCTTTTGCCCAATAGGTTGTCAACTCACTATTATACGATCATAGGTTATCTTTCTCACACTTAAAAATCTTCACACCGGAAATAATAACACAATTACCCCCTAATTACCTCCCTTGTTTTCCTATTCCCCACCATGGAATAGCTATCTTCAAACGTTTGAATTTGAAGTTGAAAATGATATTTTTGCCAATTTCTCAACTGGTAATAGTGAATTATGGGATTTTATAGGATTATTCTTTAACGAGGTAGGACTGTTTATAGATACCATCTATTTTAGGGCTTTATTTTAATATATTTTAAAAATATAACTTAAAAATATGAAATTGTAACTTTAACCCCTCGGAAAGAAAACGTCGGGAGACATTGGACAATGAACTTGAATCCCGGTAACGGCTAAAATAGTGTTTGGTTAAGGCCTATGTACACCGACGATTTTCTGTCGCCGAAAGCCCGATTACTTCTTGGTGACAAACTGCTGGGTTCTAAACCGATTTTCAATCACGACGTTTCACCGGCTCTGTTTGTTATGAACTATTTTTATATTTTATGTGTTCTATTCAGATTATACAGAATGACCCGATATTTTCTAAATTTGGTGAATCACAGAACAGCACCGATTTCTACAGAAAACCAGTTGAACAACGAATTGTAAGTTACTATAGATACTACATTAAAACAGTCAGAAATATATGAATCTTTATGTCAATGATGTAAACCTGTTTCGCCTTATTTATTTTGTGACAAGGAGTAGGGACGCCGTCCAACCTCGTAGGTTTTCTCAGGTCCCCTGGTCCCCCCCCCCCCCGCTAGTACGGGACAAGGCGTCCGGTCGTCCGACAACCTTGTAGGGTTTCTCCAGGTTCTCCGGTTTCCTCCCACTGCTAAAGACCCCTACGCGCAAGCGAATTATTGAAATAATATTAAACCATATGTTAGTCCTAGTTTGTGTCGCGTGGGCGTTAAACCCCATTTCGCTCTCTCTCTAGGAAATGAAATGAAATAAAATGAAATGGGATGTAACGTCCTACTGTTCTGCTCCTAACCTGGGCTAATGAAGACGGGCATACGCCATACAGTGTGCTATGAGGGAAATTTTGCCCGGGCAGTGGCGCTACGGCCTACTCTTATATCGAATTCCAACTGCCAAGGGATCTTTTACGTGCACGCCAATGTGTACACAGGACCTCGGTTTTTCGCACCATCCAAACGACTAGACAGCTGTCCTATGTTCAAATCCGACACATAGGATCGCATCGAGAGTTGATTATGGTCTTTTCATGTTAATAAATGTCTAATTAATAATTTATATAAAATTTCAGGCCTAAAGAAAGACCTGCAATAGGAAGATTTAGCTCTTGCATAATGTATGTTTAAATTTATAATTGCAGCAAGCTAATGGTAAAACTGAAGCTGATAATAATATGGCTAGACGACATGGTAGAAACGTTACTCTTACATCAAAAGATAAAATTAACCCTAATGATATGCTCGTCTCGTGTAAGTATGAATATCAAGAGTCGGCCTTCTGAAATGCGGTCCCTAGATAGATTAATAGTCAAGTTTTATTTGTATTGAAAGGATTTATAAAAACAACTAACCAGAAATGATAACTTTTTCTATGAAAAATATCACAAATACCCCGTAAGTTCGAAGACAGTTAGACTTGACAACGGGCTTTAAATGAAATGAACCGGGAAAGAACCTTACTCACTGGTCCACCATGGCTCCCAACTCGTCTGTGATACATGTACACGCCACAAGTCATTCGGTGTACATCTGACCACGTTGCTACAAGTCGCAACGTAACAAACAACAAACGGAGAGAGAGAGAGAGAGAGAGAGAGAGAGAGAGAGAGAGAGATGGGTTTAACGTCCACTCGACATAAACTAGTTCATTTCGGGACTAACGCATGGTTCAACGCATCGTATTAGAGAGAGAGAGAGAGAGAGAGATGGGTTTAGACACAAACCAGGTCATTACGGGACTAACATATGGTTCAATTTTATTTCAGTAATTCGCTTGCGCGTAGGGGTCTTTAGCAGTGGGGGGAAACCGGTGGACCCGGAGAAAACCCACGGGGTTGGACAGGCGACCGACCATACTCCATGTCACGTACAACCGGGGAATTGAAACCAGGCCAGGTGTCTCAATGTCAGACCTCATGATACAACGCGAATGCGCTAACCATTCGACCATCCAACTCCCCAACAAACGGAGAGCACGAATAGTCCCGTGAGTAAGCGGGAGTAAGGTGGTGCTTCGCTAACAAAATTAGTCCGTCGCGCCACTACCCGGGCACAATTCCACCATAGCACACTGCTTGGCGTGTGCCGATCTTCATTATACCTGTTGGTGCAGAAAATTAGTCCGTTGCGCCACTACCCGGGCACAATTCCCCTCATACCAGACTCATGCTTGGTGAATGCTCGTCTTGATTTTCCCGGTTGATGCAGAAAATTAGGAGCTTAAACCCCATTTCATTTCATTTCAAGTAGTGCATGAGGCAAACTATGCATACTCCCTTAGTTACCACGACCCCGCTCCTCGGGATGTCATTTATTTTTCATTTGTTAATAACTAGCTTACTCACATGTCACTCTCTTTAGACCATGTGATACCATTTCTTATTTGAGGCGTCCATATAGCTAATATTTATATTGTTAAACCACTTCCTCGTTTCAGTATCACATGGCGATTTTATGGCCCCGCCCTCCACATTTAAACCTATGACACCAAAGAGAGCCCCACCTGTCAGGTTTGATTTTCTGAAAGCCAATGATGCTCTTCCTTATTCGGCTCCTATCAGTGGAAGTGAGGCTAAGGTAAGGTGAACTCGTTTTGTATAATTATGTCCTTAAAGATACATTATGTAACATTTAGATAAAGAGCTAGCCACTCTTACTACAATAGTTCGAAAATAGGTAAAATGAATAATTTGAAAATTTCATTAAAATTACTCTATTGCGAGCGAAGATATTAGCCTTTGAAGGTTTGACAAGACGTGTGCAATAATTTCAACCACCGTACTGGTTGTACGAAGCTAAGTCTCGCTCCTCCATTTTTAGCTTAAATCAAAATATGGCTGAACTGTTCTAATCTATTTAATATCGGAGAAATCCGATGCCATCGAGAGTTGATTAAGGTCTGGATAAGTTAATCAATGTCTAATTAATAATTTAGAAAACATTTCATGCCTAAAGAAAGACCTGCAATAGGCAGATTTAGCTCTTGCATAATGTATGTTTAATTAAATATGTAAAGGAAGCGAAACTATCAAATCCGTATTCTTTTCTTGAACCAGGAGGTGTTTCCATACATTTTGTAAACGTTTTCTTGGGGAGACGCGCTTAAAATGGGCCTAAAGGAATCTGCCAATTCGATTAAGATCGGCAAGACATTTGGCTTGCTTGTTTTTTGGCCCAAGATCACCTCGATGGCATCATGACCGGTTCCTCTTTCAAAGAGTACTTGTTTTCAGTTTTTGAGATGTCAGTGGCGGCAGTCGGTCTGAATCAGAATATTTTTTCAAAAAGTAAAGAATAGTCCAAAACTGCAAAACGAGCCGCATCTCTGATTTGGGGGAAAGGGCTTAGTACAGACGGTTGTCACTTTAAAATATGTCAGCCTTACAGTGGTTTTGTACAAGGGAGTGAGTCTACTACTACCTGGTGTTTTAAAGTCTTCTTCCACAGAAGTGATATGGCAGACAAGGGAGTGGGTCACAAGCACTACTTTCTTGTTTTGATATGATGTCATGATTCCAAGATGGTCGCGATGACGTCGTGCTCGGTTCCTTCTTTTTCTTAAAGGTCGAATTCGAGTATATTTAGTGACGAGCATGGTTTTAAACATTTAAAAAAATAGTTATTCATTGTTGTCGATAAGGAAACATGCTTGGACATTTTTTTGATTGACTAGAACCAAGTATTGTCATTTGTATATAACATTTCAACTAGGAAGGAGGGTGGGGGGCACGAAGGGGGAATCACGTGGCTAAGTGGGTAAGACGCTGGCTCGCTAGCCTGGAGGTCGGGTGTTCGATCCCTGCATTAGCCGAGAAAGTTCATCCCGATTTTCCGGCGTGGTTCTCCCTTGTCAGTGATGCAGGACGGAGCGCCGGACAAGGACAGCTGTCTAGTCGTTCGTACACATTGGCGTGCACGTAAAAGATCCCTTGGCAGTTGGAATTCGATATAAAAGTAGGCCGTAACGCCGCTGCCCGGGCAAAATTTCCCTCATAGCACACTGTATGGCATATGCCCGTCTTCATTAGCTAAGGTTAGGAACAGAACAGTAGGACGTTAAACCCCATTTCATTTCGAGGGCACGAGGAAGGTGAACCGTTTGATCGTAATCTGATAGCCAACACTACAATGTATATCATAACCCTTATTATATTTTCTTACACAGAACACATTTACTGGAACGTTGATGAATGGCTACGAGGCGTTACAGAGACGATATGCCAAGGAATACAATTGTCGATCGGGAGTCGAACTCAACAGAGATACACATTTCACGATCGGTATTGAAAATCTAACACCGGACCATACGACTGAAAACAGATCGATGTTTACTGGGGCGCCGATAGCTGATCGGATCCAGAGGACAGCTGGTATCAGAGAGATTATACCGGAGAGACAGTTCAGTCATCTCAGCGTCAGTGAAAATACGTCCGATTACACAGCGGCCGATCCTTACGTTGCGAGTACGAAGGAAGCATTACGAGCCAGGAATCTCTGCATGAGCGAAAGAAATTCCGGAAAGAAACAGACACCGTTTGAAACATCGGTGATGAGAAATGATTTTGTTCCACTTGACTCTTCAAGGTAAATTATAGTGTGTTATCAAATAAACCCAATAACGTACTACTTGAATTAATACAATGAAATGTGCTATATATAACGTCCAACGACAGTAGGTTATTCCAATTTAAGGGAGCGCTTTCACCAATTTGTTTAGTAACACTGACCCATACCCTAACCCTTCTACATCATATTAGAGAGGGGGGGGGGGTAACGTCCACTCGACACAAACCAGGTCATTACAGGACTAAAATATGGTTCAATCTTATTTCAATAATTCGCTTGCACGTATGGGTCTTTAGCAGTGGACAGGCGACCCTACTCCTTTTCCCGTACAACCGGGGAATCGAAGCCACGCCATTTGACTCAATGACAGACCCTTTGAATGATGCAACGCGTAAGCACTACCCCCCCCCCCCCACATTGTATTAAGGGTTGACGTAAAATGATGGCTATTAAAACACCAAGTTTTTTTGGTTCAATGACAACCAGGTGCTCCTCAACTGATCAGTTTTTGTCTCCTTTACGAATCATTTAGATATATAATATTAATTAATATTCATAAATGAATACACAGACAATAGATTTTGAATTGAATAGACTATTCAAATTGTAAAATTAACATAAAATTATTCTCCATGTTTGATATTTTCTAGGTTTACAGAAAGTCATCAGAAGAGAATAGAACAAGTTAATAAAATATTTAACCAACCTCTAGAAAAATCACACCTGTTTCACACAGATACGTCAGGAGGTTTGTATTATTTATTGGTGATATTCTAGCCGACACTCCACGGTGCAGGACGGAGCGCCTGACAAGGACAGCTTTCTAGTCGTTAGGTTTGCACACACAAACAAACGAGGTCCCGTGTACACATTGCGTGCACGTAATATGACCCTTGTGGGGTTTAACGTCCACTCGACACAAACTAGGTCATTTCGGGACTAACGTATGGTTCAGTTTTATTTCATTCGGGGTCTTCAGCAGTGGGAGGAAACCAGAGGACCCGGAGAAACCCAAGGGGCGATCCTACTCCTTGTTCAAGCGGGGAATCGAAAACACGCCGCTTGACTCGATGACAGACCTTATGACTCAACGCGCATGCGTTACCAATTTGACACCCCCCCCCCCCCCCAGCCTACATCAAGAAACAGCTGGAATTGTATATTAGAGTAGATCGTAGCACCGCTGCCCGACCAAAATCTGACGATTGACATGGGGATCATGGTTGTGCGCTTTAGTACGGCCCGATTCCTAACCTCGTGGGTTTCCCCGGTTCCGCTCACATCGTGAATGATTGATATAACGATATACAATGTGTTAGTAATAGACGACTCACTCATTGAACTTACTATCTCCAACTTGTTTCACTATTCTATACAACTCTGGAATTATAATAATTTTCGTGATGGTGAGATTTTTATTTTTTATTCTAGGTAACAACATGGTGTCAACGTCTATGAATGATTTTGTTAAACCCGAACATATGTCAGGTAATACAAGGTTTATCGTTAAAACAAAATGATATGAAATGGGGTTTAACGTCCTACTGTTCTACTCCAACTGGGCTAATGAAGAAGGGCATACGCCATACAGTGTGCTATGAGGGAAATTTTGCCCGGGCAGCGGCACTATGGCCTACTCTTATAACGAATTCCAACTGCCAAGGGATCTTTTACGTGCACGCCAATGTATACACGCGACCTCGGTTTTTCGTCCCATCCGAACGACTAGACAGCTGTCCTTGTCAGGCCCTCCGTCCTACACCACTGACAAGCGGAAGCCTTTATAAGAGTAGGCCGTAGCGCGACTGTCCAGGTAAAATTTCCCTCACAGCACACTGTATGGCGTATGCCCGTCTTCATTAGCCCAGTCGGAGCAGAACAGTAGGATGTTAAACCCCATTTTATTTCATTTTCAAATAAGACCATGTTTAATAATCTCGATGTGCCGAGTGGACATGTTTATCTTTATTTGATGTATGACTACCTGTTGATGATTAAACTAAAAGGGTTTATCGTTACCAAGGTTACTGATATATGCAGAATTATGGCGATTTACCCATTGACGAGTCAATCCTACAAGAAATAAGTCTAAATGGGCGGTAAAAGTTTTCTATTTGAAGAATGTTTGATATACTTTGTATTGATTTTTTTAGTTTATTCAAACGTTCAGGTCAAACGACCAGACTTCCGCTCACTTTATTTAATAGAGGTGGAAGGGTGGGGCTCTCTTGATCTTAAAGTACAGGTTAAACGAATCCATCTTCTTCTGAGGCATATGTACTAGATACTCTATTATTTAGTAGAGGTGGGTGCGTTTTAGTGGTGGTGGGGGGGAGGGGGTATCTTTTTTCAAACGTTCGGGTCAAACGACCAAACTTCCGCCCACTTTATTTAATTGAGGTGGGGAGGGAGAGGTTTATCTTGTTCCAAAGGTACCGGTTAAACATACATTATACAAGACCCAAATCTGCCTATTGCAGGTCTTTCTTTGGGCCTGAAATGTTATATAAATTATTAATTACACATTTATTAACATGAAAAGAACTTAATCAACTCTCGGTGCCGTCTTATGTGTCGGATTTTCACTGAATTTGAATCCGTTTTGCTGCTCAATGCTCATTGATGATTTAATCCAAAAATGGATAATCGAGAATATGTTTTTTATAGTAATGATGATCGAGGCTAGGCCTAAAATTCAAACTCTAATATCTCGGTTCAGAGTGGAGCAATCTGACTGAAATTTTCAGCATATTCCCTTTACATTATCTAGTTTGCCAGCTATTTATCTAATCGTCCATAATATCCCTTTAAATGAACGCAAGCTTCCTCACATTTGCTGCTGTTACAGAAAGTGCATTTTAAAATGTTTAATTTGATTTTGTGTTTCAGGACAGAAGTTATTAGGTGCAAGATAGATCAAAGTTTTATTTATTGATGTACATGATTTTATATCAGTTTATATTTATTATATTTAATATCCATAAAAAATTAGTTTCTGTAGTTTGTCTAACGCATGCGCTTTATTCATAAGGTCTGTCATTGAGTCATTTAAGGATTAGCTAAAAGCCCGATGACGCATATCCAACATTCATCACGCACACAAGGTAGTCCGGTTCATATTACCACAATGCCCCCCCCCCCCCGAAAAAATGTTTTGCCCCCCCCCCCCCCCGAAAAAGAATTTGGTGACCATAGATCTAAAATACCTACTGTAGACTATGCCGGGTGTGCCCCCCTAAAAACTTCACTGCCCCTCCGAAGCTAGCAAGCTGGCTACGGGCCTGTCGACATGGATACACGATTTATTTGTCGGTTTATATCAACATTGATGTTGTGATCTTACTGGGAAAAGATGGCCTTCTGATATCCAATATTTAAGACAAAATAAACATTTTACAATTTGGTACACGAATCGTGTACCATAATGCGTTTCAGCACTATTTGTAATAAGGGACTCAAAAAACGAGGCTAGGCATATTTCACAAGTCAGGATCAAACGGTGACGCTTTATTCTTATCTGGAGAGCATGCCCAATAAATACTATCGGCGTAGACTGGAATAACCAGACGCTAGAGATTGAAATTCGATTGAGAATACTGGCGTATTTCGCCGAACCTAACTGATTAGAAATTACAGTAAAAACAGAAACGATTGAAAATAAATCAATTTATATACATTCATATTACATTATTGTATGACCCATTTGTGTCAATTGCTAGGTCCCAAATATTAGCGACTTAGCTCCTTTAAATGTGTTTTAACCAAAATGATTATTATGCTGTTGAGGTTGTGTTTTGTCCTTGCCTGTGATACGGACGGTCGGGTTGCCGAGTTGTCTAAAGCGTGTGTTTAGATCATAAAGTCTGTCACGGAGTCTAATGGTGTGGTTTCAACCGCCTGCCTAACCTCGTGGGTTTTCACCGCGTCCTCCGCCCGATCACTCCCTTACTCCCACTGTTAAAGCCCCTTCGCACAACCGAGTTATCGAAATGAAAGTGTACCAATAGTCAAGAGGAAAATCCCTTGACCGAGCAGTGGATTTAATGCAGATTTGTCTCCCTTTAAACAAAGGTCTCATTGTTGATGAGTCGTTCATGGTGCTATCGAAATAAATGAAATAAAATGGGGTTTCACGTCCTACTGTTCTGCTCCGATTGGGCTAATGAAGACGGGCATACGCCTTACAGTGTGCTATGAAAAAAAAATTTGCCTGGGCAGTGGCACTATGGCAAAGTTTTCTTCATAGCACAGTTTATGACATATGCCCGTCTTCATTAGCCCATTACAGGAGCAGAACAGTAGGACGTTAAACCCCATTTCATTTCATTCAGCGCCGCTGCCCTGGCAAACGTCTCTCGACACAGTGCATGGTGTACATAGGCTGCCCGTCTTCGTTAGATCAATCGGTGCAGAGAGGTGAAACGTTAAACCACATTTCATTTCGGGGATCACGTGGCTAAGTGGGTAAGACGCTGGCTCGCTAGCCTGGAGGTCGGGTGTTCGATCCCTGCATTGGCCGAGAAAGTTCATCCAGATTTTCCGGCGTGGTCCCCCCTTGTCAGTGATGCAGGACGGAGGGCCTGGCAAGGACAGCTGTCTAGTCGTTCGGATGGGACGAAAAACCGAGGTCCCGTGTACACATTGGCGTGCACGTAAAAGATCCCTTGGCAGTTGGAATTCGATATAAGAGTAGGCCGTGGCGCCGCTGCCCGGGCAAAATTTCCCTCATAGCACACTGTATGGCGTATGCCCGTCTTCATTAGCCCAGCATAGGAGCAGAACAGTAGGACGTTAAACTCCATTTTATTTCATTTCATTTCCACATTTCATTTCATTTCATTTAATGGTTTCGATTCCCCGGTTGTACGTGACAAGGAGTAGGGTCGCCTGTCCAACCTTGTGGGTTTTCTCCGTGTCCTCCGGCACCCTTCTACTGCTAAAGACCCCTACGCGCAAGCGAATTATTGAAATAAAATAAAACCATATGTTAGTCCCGAAATGACCTAGTCTGTGTCGTGTGGACGTTAAACTCTCTCTCTCTCTCTCTCTCTCTCTCTCTCTCTCTCTCTCTCGCACGATTGCATACAAAGTAGGAATATTTTTGAAATAAAAAAAAACCATAAAGTTATAAATATGCCATATCTATCTGCCAATACCATGTGAAGTGTCGGTTATCGTATAAATATACATTTTATAATAAATATGCCATTTACATCTCCGTCTCGTGTTGCCAGAGATTATCAAGGTGTTATCGCGCGCTGACAAAAGGGCGCGAAAGTTTATCGTACATTTCCGTAAATTAATGTAATACTTCCGGCACGGCGGATAAACTCCGGAAACAATATCAAAAGGGATCAATTAATGCTTTCTTCGTTTCCATTTGGGTATCTTTAAATCGTTTTTATTAATAAGTTGGCTAGCTAGTATGTTATATTTGGGCTAAGGCTGCACCAATTCGCGTGCGCTTAGATAATAAAAATCAAAAATATGACAACTAGTTTACGACATCACCCTCGGTTTGAAGCGGACGTTAAACACCAAGAACAACAACAATACCAGTTCGAACACGATTGACATGTGTGTGCTTTAGACATTGATTGATTGACTTCGGTTTTAGGTGGCTAGATCTATTTGTTAAGGCCAACTAAATTGTCGTCAAGGTCGCTTTAATGTAAATAAGGTTAAGGCAGGTGATTGTTGGCGAGATTGTAGGTTAGGGTTAGGGTAAGCGCTAGCCCTGTTTACATCTCGTGACCTTTGACCAAACTTGAAGTTGGCCTTATCAAATGGATTTAACCGTTTTTGGTATGATGTCACAATAACATGATGGCTCCGATTTAATAGGATAAAGCTGGATGGCGGAAATATCGGTTTCGAAGGAAATTTAAAATAAACTAAATGCAAACTGATAAATATAACAAATAAAATGAACAGGGGTTTAACATCCAATCGACAACTTTTCCACGCCAACCGGGTTAATGAAGACGGACACGTTGTCGCCTACTCCTCGTCGAATTCCAATCGTAAAGGGTTCTTTTACGTGCACGTCAAAGTGTAGAAGGGACTCCGGTTTTTTTGTCCCATGCGAACGACTAGGTGCTCTTCCTTTGCCAGACCCTCCTTCTCACACCGCTGACCAGAGGACAAAAACACTGTATATTCCCGTGGAATTGTTCGGTCGTCACACCACTGACCAGAGGAAAAGAATTCTGGAAAACCCACTGGAATTTGCTAGTCGACCCGAGGCTCGTATCCTGGGGCCTGTTTCACGAAATTTTAACTAAAATGAAAATTCAAATTTTAGTAACTTGATTGGATAATATTAGGTTGATTTTAGTGCTTAGCCAATCAAAAATGAAGTATCTACTAAAATTTTGATTTTATCTTTGGTTAAGATTTCGAGAAAAAGAGCCTTGGGCGTTTTGGTTGATGAGTCAGCACCCTATTGACTCATCCACCATGGCGCACATACAGATTGCTACTAGCCGACATAAAATTGTATTCCGTGTCGTTTTATGTTGTGAGCCACTTCCCGGTTGATGCCCAAATGTAGGACGTGTTTCATTTCATTTCAGTCTGCGCCTTACTCACCTATCCACCGTGGCCCACTTACAGATTGGATCTTTGATGGCCGCTAGCCGAGGTAAAATTATATTCCGTGTCGTTTCATTTCTTTTATCTGCCAACACCTCAGTCAATCTAAAAACAGTGTTTACAATATAATTATTTAAAATATTATTTTAATTATTCAAACGATCGGAAACGAGTTTATAATTGCTGTTCTAGTTAAAAGCACATTTTAGCTGCAGAAGATCAATAGATGTTCAGGTTTTGAAATTTAAACTGCTCAGAAAGAACCCACTTTGATTTATCTCACGGTAAACCATCAATATATATATTTAATTTTTATATAAAGTATAAAATTCAGACCATTCTGGCCCCGAGTTGACAAAGCATTCTCATACTTCGAATATACTCAAATTGGTCGCCTTATTTTAACTAAAATATAGTCCTTTATAAAACTTTGTTTTGTTTAATGTATCAAATACATCAATAAGAAACTATGTGTAAAGTTTTGTGTTTGTGATTGAAATTTGAGTAAATTCTTAACTTAAGTCTTAGAATACTTTGTGAACTCGGGGCCTTGTGCAAGAGGGGTTGGCGGGGCCGGGTGGCCTAACGCATGCGAGTTAGATTTTTATTTCTGTCATTAAGAAAAATGGAGTGGTTTCGATCTTAAGCTCGTACGTGACTCCCCGGTGATTACAAATTGAACCATATGTTAGTCCCGAAATGTCCTAGTTTATGTAGAGTGGACGTTAAACCTATTTCTAATTACCGAGATTATGACGAACCAAAAATCAAAGTCGTGCTTCTCTTTTATTTGATATAAAAAAATAGACGACATAGTATTAAAATAAAAAAAGGCAAAGAAAATGAAGAAGAAAGTAAATGAAGACTTTGATATATTACTAGTGTTAGGTACAAGAGGTGGGTTATTATTATAAGTGGATTCTTGGCTGCCTATCTGACGCCGAGTCTCAATGTTAAAGATCTTTACAACCCAACCCACACAGGCTGCCAACTGACTTTATCAACTAGTGCTTCTTTTTCTGATCTAATTAAAATAGGCTTCAAATTAAAACTAGTTTTACATATTTTAGGTCGACAGTTAAAACAGTAGAATCTCCCAATCTATGCTGGTTTGATCACTGACACGATGAAAATGAAATGGAATTAACGTTCTTCTTTTCTGGAGAGAGAGAGAGAGAGATAGAGAGAGAGGGAGAGAGAGAGATATATTGGTTTAACGTCCACTCGACACAGACTACGTCATTTCGGGACTAACATATGGTTTAATTTTATTTCAATAATTCGTGGAAGGAAACCGGAGGACCCGGAGAAAACCCACGAGGTTGGACAGGCGACCCTACTCCTTGTCACGTACAACCG